TTCACAGGCACTCACAGTCAGTAATCACAGTTAGTCACAGCAAGACACAGTTAGTCGCAGCAGCACACAGTTACAGTAACAGACAGTTACAGCTACAGCCAGTAAGCTTTCCAGCTTCTAATGCTTCCTTATATTGTAACTTCTAACCGCACCCTTAATCGGCTAATTGCCTGCTGCATTGTGCTTAAAGTGATAAGCACTTAAACCATGATATCTAAGTTTTATATATTTATTCACCCAAACCATATTTGGTATCAATGTTATACCTAACATGGATGTCGGCAGAATGTTGCAAATCGCAATTCTAGGATATCCTCTCTTAATTGCAGCAGCCACACAATTTCCGTTGCTAAGCAGTGTGGCCACATATCACATCACGCTTTAGGGCCACACCAATTAGCAATGGAAATTGCAGCCACAATTGCTGTTGTGTGTATAAGTAATTTCTTCCCTTATACTGGCATCCAATCATAAGAGAGAGGTCTAAACAACCTGGCATACACTAATAATGCATGGGAGAACTCTAGATACGGAAGGGATTGTCTATAATTAAAACAAGGAGCATTATGTTTTACATATTAGCTTTAATAACATACCGTAGGGGAGTCTGGAATCCAGTTTGCTGGACAGACTTCTCCATGTGTTTCTACATACTGGAATGCTTTCACCAACCGAAGTGTTTCTTCTACACTGCGACCCACTGAGAGATCATTGACACTTAAATGCTTGACAACACCATTAGGATCAATGATAAAAAGGCCCCTTTAAAAAAAAGTAAATGTTTTTTTTTTAATTAAAATATACTTCCTGCAAAAATGGCTTTACAATAGAAAACACACGCCGAGATCTCACGTCTTTCCCCTTCTTCTTTCTCTACCAGATAGCAGTGAAAAAGGCAGTTGAATTTATATAATTTGTTTGCTTGTAAAGGAATCAATTCTAACTCTCTTGGGAGGTTAAGTAGCTTCCACTGTATTTTCCACTAGTCTTTTTAAGTTATTGCTTATATTCTGAAGCCTTAACAGACTGTCAATTTAAATATAGCAAGAAAAATATGCTGCACATCAGTGATAGATGTCACATTTATCTTCTATATATGAACTGTTATATACAGTATGAAGTTTACCAATATGAAAATGTTTAAAAGACTATTAACTATCCAACTGTAATCAAGGCAGAGACAGATTCATAGTTATGTAGATATGAGGTAAGGAGGAAATCAGATTTGCATGGTAGCAGAGATCTAACATATTCCCAGTCTTACATACTATCAGGGAGATTCCAGAAAAAAACCCAATATTTTATTCTGTACTACAAATAAAACATTTTTCAAACTTTTTAAAAATCTTGTAAACAATTAGGAAAACTCTTATGTGTTTGTGTGTTTGTAAAATTACTGCTCTTATAAAATTAATCTCTCTCTCTCCCTCCCTCCCTCTCTCTCTCTCTCTCTAGTTGGCTAAGGCAGGTAGAATCTGCTGAAAATATTATCTGATACACATATTTCTGTCTCTTCTGCAATATGGCAAGCAGCTCCAGCACCAAACTCTGCTTGCCATGCCCTGGGAAGACACAGCCACCCCAACCAAGTCCTAGTCACTCTTGCCATCCAGCACTTCATAGTTCTGGATAATCTTTGCCACCGCCTTCTTGCTCCCACTGCTGACAAGCTGCAGCTGCTCTGGCTACTGGTCTACAGAGTGAGAGAGAGAAAAAAAAGCACAAAGCTTTTTAAAGAGGCCAGAGCATGTCAAAGTGCTCCTTTGCACCATACTCCTAGGCTGTATGGAGCTGGGTTTGCGCTGTAAAAAAAGGGGGGAAGCAGCTCAAAGGCAGCAGAAGTTGCAAAAATGCCCCTTTGTATTGCATTTCTGGTCCATATGGACTAGCTTGGTGGTGCAAAAATGGGAAAAAGAGGGCAAACAGCTTATTCCCCCCCTCCTTTTCTTTTTCCAGCCCAAGACTACCTGTAAGCTTCAGACTTAGCTTACACAATGTACTAAACCAGCAACCGAGGTTTACAAACTGCAACACTTGACTTCACACAATATACTACATTAAAATCAATTAGAGTATGTTATGGCATCATATATAATTCCCTATCCTATCTTACTAGAGACATTCAAGGTAAGTAACAAAACAGATTCCTTACCTTAACGCTAGGCCAGAGCTTTCTATGAGAACACCATAGTCTCGGGAAATCTGTTTTGTTAAATCTGATAGAAGTGGGATATTCATGTGGCCTAAACCACCAGTCTAAGGAAAAAGACAGATGAATGAATGAATGAAAAGTGAGTATATATCCCTCACAAACAACAATTAAGAGCTGGAGAAAGAAAATCCAACATCAGCATGACAGATTTTCATATATCATCATCATCATTATTACTATTATTATTTATAAGCATGGATCTTGATATAAATATTAGAGAGAAATGTTGTAGACTCAAGAAAAAACATGATTTCTTGTTTTCCCCCCCATTCCTTCCTCCCAAATGAAATTAATCCTATTTCAGTTGTAATATCTAGCCTATTGTTTCAGATTTGTACACAGAATTACTACAAGATCCTTACTAATACTAATTATATCAATACATTATTATATTAATACAACTTATATTTATAGTATATTAATACTTCTTTACACATTAAATATTACAAATATACAAATTAAAATAAACCATAAATGATAGAAGTATACATTTCGTCAATTTTTTATTAAAAAAACATGTTGAAAGTCTTAAGCCACCATTCAGCGATGTCATGAGCACTGCCCAAAGTTTTATTTGTTGGGAAGCTATAATAAATGAAATGAAATAGATTAAATAATTTTTTAAAAAAAAGATGCTATCAACGTATAAATGACACTACCAAAGTATGGTAGATGCCACAATTGCATTTAAAAACTTCTAAGAAAGATCTATTTAAGTATGGTTAGAAAGAAAACTTCAAACTTTGTTCTAATCCAGTACAGTTTTATATTGTATGATAAATACCGGTAATATATATGCAAAATATCTATACTAGCTTTCATGAGCCAGAAACTTTTGTGCTGGCTGGGATTCTGGGAGCTATAATTATTATTTATTTCTGTTATAGGCCAGTACAGACTAATACTATATAACAATCACTTGTGAAAATAAAAATCATGTTGCTATAATGAATAAGGTAAATATAGAATTATTAGCATAAAATTACAAGGTATGGGAATTAAAGTACGAGAGAAACTTAAACAATTACAATTAATTTTACAATGGATAATCTAAATCAGTGGCCCCCAACCTTTTTTGTGCCACGGCCCGGTACTGGCATCAGCACGCATGACAAGGCAAGGCGAGCCGAGCGACCGGCCAGCCAGCCGTCCCCCGCTTCTCCCCGCCACCTTCAACTCCTCCTTTGTACCTTTGTCGATGGGCTTCGCTTCGGGACGGCTTCGGGACAGTCGCTCGGCTCGCCTTGCCTTGGGTGCTGAAAGAATCCTTGCGCCTTAGTTTCGTTCCAAGCCCCCTCCCCCTCGATGAAACTAAGGCGCGAGGATTCCTTCAGGACCCAAACGCCGCTTTCCAACCGGAAAAACTCACCCGGAAGCACTTTCTCGTCAAACAAGATGGTGGCGCCCAGCAAACCGGCGGCCCAGTAGGAAATGTTCCACGGACCGGTCCCGGTCCGCGGACCGGTGGTTGGGGACCCCTGATCTAAATGCTACAGATAACTACGATACGATATTCATACAAGGACATAAATAATACTAGAATAAAACACTAAAGGTAGTTCTCAACTTATGACCACAATTAAGCCCAAAATTTCTGTTGCTAAATGAGGCAGCCTTTAAGTGAGTTTTGCCCCATTTTATAACCTTTCTTGCCACAGTTGTCAAGTGAATCACTGCAAGTTGTTAAGTTAGTAATGTTCTTAAGTGAATCTGGCTTCCCCAGACTTTGCTGAACAGAAGATCACAAAAGATGATCACATGACTGAAGGATACTGCAACAGTCATAAATATGAGTTAGTTGCATCTGAATTTTAGTCACATGACTATAGAGATACTATATTGCGATGGTTGTGTGTCATAAGTCACCTTTTTCAGTGCCATTTTAATTTCGACCAGCCACTAAAAAAAAATTTTGTTAAGTCGACACCCTGTTCTAGGATATAAAGCTGTGCTAATTTATATTAAGTCCAATACTTGCGAAGATCTGGTAGGATCTGATGGGATTAAGACAATATAGGTCCAATCAATCATAACAAAGAGATAGCAATATAATATATAGAATGGTATGAATATGTTTAAAAGGAAAAGGAAAAAAGGGAGAAGAAGGGGAGAAAAAAGAAAGGAAAAAAGAAAAGAAAAATATATTGAGTTATGGAAAGCTAAGTAAGGCTTCATTCCTCTCTTAGACCACCGGTTTATGTTTAGTCATAGCTCTGAACAGAAGTGTCTCTGAAATCCCTTCCTCCTAATTAGCCAGCAAGAGATTAATGTAATCAATGTCTGTCCTGCCCAGCTATTGTGATACGTGAAGAAATATACCAATCTTACAGTTTTCTATACAAAAGGGAACCCAGCAAAACACAGCCCAGTTTCCATTTCTTCCAAACTTCAAAGAAAGAGCTGCAAATCCTTTTGTATGTCATACCAAAACCTTCCCTCCAAGATGGCAGAAAGGAAAATATTACAGAAAGCAAGACTAAAAGCTCTTCGGATGTTTGAGGAAACAATACTGTATAATGATGTTCTGAAGCAACACTTGTGGGTTTACTCAATTAATATATAGTGGAGTGTGTGTGTGTGTGTGTTTTGTTTTTTCCACAATATTTTTGTCTTGTTTAATTTTTGCTTTGTTATTGTTTTTCTCCTATCCTTTTTTGGGGAAGCTCTATATTTTAACTTTGGAAATAAAATTTTAAAAAGTTATCTCAAAAACATTTTTATTGTTTCATAATTCATGATTAAATTGTTACCAGTGTATTAGGAGGCAATTGATTTTAAAAGTGGCAGCTGTGCTTTCACATATCAAATGGGCACAATGGGGTAGGGTGGCTAATATAAAACTAACCGGACTTTTCATGTGAAAGGACATGGATCCAATTATGTCGAGGCTACAGCAGTTTTTTCTTAAAATAAACAAATTAAAAGCTTTTATTTATTGTTTTGTACTGTGGGCATCAAATGTTGCCACTAATAGAGGTTTCGTCTAGTGATTAAGGCACCGGTCTAGAAATGGTGAGACTCTGAGTTCTAGTCCCACCTTAGACAGGAAAGCTGGCTGGGTGACTTTGAGCCAGTCATTCTGTCCTCAGCCCAACTTACACAGTTGTTGTGGAGAAAATAGAAGAAGTGAGGAATATTGGGTACATTTGCCTCCTCCAGTTATTTATAAAAATAAAGGTGGAATTAAAAAAATAAAATAATGAAATAAAATAAATGAAAGTTCAACCATCTCATTGTAAATTTTAATGTTGATATTAGTAAGATACATGCACATCTGCACAGCTACCCTTACCCAGGAGTCTTAATATCTGCTCAATTTAACCACATCACAGAGCCAAGGAGACAAATGACCTGTCCTTGAAACGAGGCCAGCAAATCTCATTATGTTTAGGAGCCATCTCCTAGACAAAAGTGTGTGGTCATCACTTGCATTTTAGTTGTGGAAACCCTGTCACATGGTCATAAATCTAGCTAGATGACTAGACAGACTTCAAGGCTGTAGCATACGCAAGCAAGTAAAGCTATGTTTTAAAAACCTCAAAACCTCACCACATTTCTGATTCATATTGTGTTACTTGTGGATATGAAAATAATTTATCAATGATTTTAAAGTGCAGGCCAGTGTTCTGAAGCACAGATTTTAATCCAAACCCAGTACTCTGACAATTTATAGGTTTGACTGAAAAAAGGACATAAGAATATGTAACAGGTCTTTTAGAGAAAAAACAACAGAACCTCACGAAAAGCTCAGGAAACAGGTAAGAACAAGATCCAATTTGTCCAGGCCTTCCAAATTCTTCCAGGACACTTGATTCTTTTAAGTCAGCAAGAAAGAACCACCATTTCAATCAACAGTCCCACTTGAGGGATGTTAAGTAATGATTAAAATCTGATTCCTTAGTCACACTAATATACAACAGAATAGTATACACTAATTTTCTTGGTTGCATACTATATATTTCACATAATTGCTTTTTTCTTTATTTTACAAATAAAGAATATTATAATTATCCATTTCAGAATTTTATAATTAGACTTAAAATAGTAGCAACTTTTGTACCTATCAGTTACTTATGGCCTTGGGGTTGGGCCTTTCTTACAATGACCAAGCATAATTTAGACTGTTTTATCTTTCCTTTTCTTACTGGGCATTACTTTTCTTATGGTTTAGAGTAGATTAGACAAAATGAACAGTGGTGTCTAAAGCGAGTCACATGATATATGCACACTGACATCATGATTTGATCCAAATTTTGATGCATTTGATCCAAAATTATATGTCAGAACAATTCTATCAATTTCAAAACCCGCAGTAGTTTATTTTTATTAGGTGAAAGAGAAGTGAAATGCCTATCTGGTAGAAAAATATAAATATTCACAGCTGAGAAATGAACAAATTTATTTTCTGTTTATACTTTAAGAAAATCTTATTAAAACAGTGCCCTTTAAGAAACTAAAATATTTATATACCAGACTAATATTAATGTAAATAAGATGAATCTAGATTTTAAACATATGTTCAATATTCATGATTTTAAGTATTGAAGATTTTTGTAACTATCCAAATAAATAAAAGCAATTTCCTTCCACAATCAATACCCCAGTAATTCTGCCAGTCAAATTAGATAGTATCTGTGCTGCTGTATGGATATAATTATTATGGATAATAATAATGCAAGAATAAATGAAAAGAAACATAATTTCTACCTTTCGTGGTGTATTTATCCATGCCAGGTGACAGAAGTGAGAGTCTACTGATACAGCAACAACTTCACAATTCACATCATGGAATTCATTTGCTTTGTCACTAAAAGCTATAATTTCTGTTGGGCATACGAAAGTGCTAGTGGGGGGGAAATACAGACAGAAAATGAAAAAGAATGGAACAGGTCTCTAAACATCTTTATATCATTAGGTTGTACAAAGTATGAGCAAAATAAATATTTATCCATTTGAGACATCCTGCTTATCCAAATAATTCATTGGGACATAAATTGAATGGACAAAGTTCGGAAGAATAATGGCATGTAATCTAGAAAAGATGCCAAAAATGTTGCTTCAAAATTGGATCCCCAATTTCTATCAAATGTTTATAGCATTTATCTGATTGCTATCATTCCCTTATCATAATTGCCAAAAGATCCAAAAATATGCTGCAGTCTGTATTCCACAAATGTTCAGCCCCCTGTTTCATTACAATTCTTTTTTAGGAACAGGCTACAGCATCATAACTAACATAAGATATAGAACATAAGATAAGGAACGTAAGATTTGGGGATCATAAAATTTCCAAATTATAATTTGTATAGTTTTAGCAATCATACCACAGCAAATGCATCAGACAAGTGTTTTACAAATATTTTACTGGACTCTTCATGTAGTATTGTAAAAATATTCATTAGGAGTACTATATGCTGATAGCTATATACTGTTACTGTACAAAGGCAAAATTTGATCTGGAATACATCTGAATCTATAAGTAGCACCTGTCAACAACTGAATCTTTTCCTGGAATTGCATAGTTACTGTAAGATTCTGGGAACGGATGCTTTAAGGAATGTTCAGATACTATGTGTGCAGTACTTGGAATCACATTTGCCCTTTCAATTTGGATAATTGAATTCATGCTCAAAGCAGGTTTTATTCTACACTAACTTCTAATCTGCACAGTATGTCATCTGGGTCATTAAAATTGAGACAATAAATTTCTCACATCTGCAAAACAAAATTGTTGAAAAATTATGTGCATGTATTTATTTAATCCAATAACCTTTTGCCTAAACTACTTATCCTTGTTTGTTTCATCCATAATGGATGTACCACTTTATCTAGACAAATGAGCAATTAATATTCCAAGTCATTTTTTTCTATCTCTGAATATGTGAGCCAATGTAGAAGGAAGGAGGAGGAGCTAGGACGCTGGAGTAGAAATGGGAAGACTCTGTTTTCAGTCCACTAGGTAAGTAGTAACTTTCTCCCCAGAAACATCTTGACAGCATCAAACTACATACAATGTAATAGATTACAATCCATCACAGTCATAACAACTTCAAGCTATCATGGATTTATTTGAGATGATAATAATAGTATCAATAGTATCAACAACACATACGCTCCTTAATCTGGAAATGCATTAATAAGAATGTCTTTGGCCTATTTCTTATCACTGAACTTGTACATAAAGAAGGCCACTGTTACATGATAAACAGAATGCAAGTGAGGTTGAAATAACAAACAAGATTATCTGCCCAAAACATGAAAGCCAAGTCTACTTAAGAGATACAATACAGGACAATACTTACAAATCCAAGGGGTAGAAGAAAAGAACGAGGTATTTTCCTTTAAAGTCATCTAAACTGAGCTCCCTGAAATCTCCATCCACCACAGCTGTCCCCTTAAAAAATGGAGCACGCTGAGTGACAGCAGGAACAAACCTTGCAGCACCTAGTAATCATTAGGTACAGTCATACGATATAACAAAGATATTGTGTTTGGATTAGAAACAAGCAAAATGCTAACATGCAAATTCATAAAAAGAAAAAAAAAACATCTTAGCAAATGTACCCCAGCATTTTTAGAAAATAAAAAAGTAATAATGAGCAATCACATTTTTTTAAAAGTGTATTTTATTTTTTAATGGTATTTTATGACTAGCTACACTTGATCTCAAGACAGCCATTTTGTATGAGTGCTATTACATGTTCTCACAATTCCCCCAAAGATTGAGGCTTCAGTATGATGTGAATTAGATCACAGTCTATAATCTATGTTCATTATCTAATTCATGTTATGACTAAATATACTGTGTGTCAGTATATCTTCTGTGTGGATGTCACAATAATTTCAATCATTAAAGGAACTATTATTGGGAAAAGACATTCAGATGCACCAGCCATTCTAAAGAGGAAAGAAGCCCAACAGATAGCTAATTAGTGAAGGTTGATGTTCAGGGTGTTTATTTTTCTTGAAACCAGCATTGCTCCAACCCAAGGCCACAATTCATGCAAATATGCAGTTTGTAGCCCTGAACCTTAATGTAAATGGAAGAAAAGCATTCTTGCCTTCATCAAGGCTAGCTCAACAAAGATGACAAAAAAAGTTTACCAGTACCTGAAATTTTAACTTCATTTTAAAATCAAATTGTGCAGATTCCTCTTTACAAAAGAGATACTTATTTCTAAATAAAATTGAACACATTTCAGAGTTGTTTGCAAATTATTAGAAACATTTAGCAGCACCGATATATTTATTTTGTGTATCTCTATACACAGACCTTACTCCCTGATAATATTTCCATTAAATGTCTATTCCCATTTATTATCCACCTGAAATAATTTAAAAATAGCATGTGTTAACTTGCAATTCTGCAGTAGTAAAAACATGTTGAACCCCACACCCACGAAGCCTATGCTTAACTGACATAACAGAAATGCAGGTCTGAAAAAAGCAGAAGTAATACAATTCAGTGTTGTGCAAATTTTGGAATATATTCCAAGAAAACTGCAAAGTAATAGAATCATTGAGGTGAAGGGATCTTCCCAGTCATTTAGTCCAATCTCTGGTGTGCAGGATCTACTACATTTTTTTTTTAAACTAGGCAGCCTTAAGGTGTGGATAGCATGCTGCAAGTTGCCAAGCTTGAAAAAGACTGTGCTAGACTTGACCATCTGACTTATCCAGTCTATTTGAAACCATTTCAGATTGGGTGGCAGTCTATTCCATTGGCCAAGAAAGTCTTCTTTGGTATTTAGCCTAAACCTTTTTCCTTAATAGTTTTAACCCACTGGTTTTGGTCTTTCTTTATGGGACAACAGCCCATGTGTCCCATCTGCACACGATAACCCAACATTTCCTCTGCTTTTTAGATCGCTGCAAATGTATATGATTGCAGACTAAATCAGAGAATATGCATGGGGAGACCTTTGGCCACGAAGCACAGGGAGAAGAGTTTTTAAGAGAGGATTTAGAGGGCATCCATGAACAAGGTGCTGATTATGAGCGATTTCATTCACTCTCAGACCCGGCAACTTACTAGTACTGAAATATAGCCGAGGCACAGAGGGCTTGGCGTCGGCTGTGCACTTCCGCCCACTCGCCGCTGCTGATAAACACCTTCCGGCCACCGCGCTTGCTCTCCATATGGTGGCACCGGTCCAACCACCCTAGGAAAAGAGGGCTCGGGTCGGTATCAGAAGAAAACGGGAAACGAGGACCCAAGGGTAACATGCTAGCGAAATATGCACCGCAGCGGAGCAGAAGCAGCCTGAGATACTCGGGAAAGACCCCTGCAAAGCATGCTAAGATCGAGCTCCAGTTTCTCCTCCCAAGCTCCAGTTTCTCCTCCCAAGATCCTGCATGGAGGGCTTCCCAAGATCTGGATGAGTAAAGGGACGGGGACGGGGAGGGAGAGAGACACTCGACTCTTATTTATATTTATATATTTATATATATAATCTCTCTCTCTCTCTCTCTCTCTCTCTCTCTCTCTCGGAAGGCAGCGATGGGTCGATTTTGCAAAAAGTAGCAAAGGTTCAAGATGGGGGAACGAGGGGGTCGATAAAGGAATCTAGTCCTCACCCCCTAAGGAAGCTATTATTACACCTTCCAAGGGTTTTCGGCTTACTCTCGTGCAGAGTGCGCCCAACTTAGAAAACACAACAGGGAGAGAAGCGCCGCGATGCCTTTAATGCTATAACAAAGAAGCCCCAAGACTGCAGCCTCCCTGCCAGAGCGAAGCAATGGCCGAGGGCCAGCACGGGTCATTTTTCGGGAACGGCGCGGCAAGCAAGGGGGTCGCACTTACGGAGGGTTTCAGTAACCTTCGGAGCGCCCCTGTCACGGCTGCCATTTTCAGCTTGAAGAGCAAACGAAAGGGGCGGATCGCGCTCCGGCTTTGGCTGATACCGGGGAGGAGCCGCGAAATCCCCATAACCCCAGGGCCGGGCTGTTGATAGGCCGGCAGAGCTGCGGGTGGGATCGGCCCAACCTTGCAGAATGTGGGTTTTCCCGAGGGTAAGGAAAGAGCCCGGTTAAAGTTTGTAGTTATGTCCGACTCTTGAGCTGGCACTGAATTTGCAGCTGGGTCTATTAGGATCACAGGATGCCCGGAACTATAAAGTATAGGTATATATTCGAAATATATTGATTAATATGTGTATGTATATGTGTCGGTATATAGTGATTAATATGTGTATGTATATGCACATACATATATGTGTGTGTATACTATATTTTGCATTCCTAGGTAGCCTAGTCAGTATATATACCGATATATATATTCATTTTTTAAATGTGTGCCAGTGTGTTCACAGAAAAAAGTGACAATAAAGGCTATCTTTCAATCAATCAGAATACAGCTGGAAGGGACCTGGAGGTCATTTAGTCCAGGCCCTTGCTCAAGCAGAAAACCCTATACCAGGGTTGTCAAACTTGCATCGTCATAGCGGCATCATGTGAAATAGTGAGACTTTTTCCCCCTTCACTGGGTGAGGGAGGAGCCAGCACATGATGAATCCGGCCCGCAAGCGGCAAGTTTGACACCTCTGCCCTATACCATTTCAGACAAGTGGCTGTCCAGTTTTTTCTAAAAAATCTCCAGTGATGCAGCACCCATAACATCTGAAGATAAGTTACAGTTAATTACATCGTATGTAACCATAATATTTAACATGTTAACCTAGTCTGTGTTAGTCTTAGCTAATCCTTTTTTTGGTACAAATCCCCATTAAATAATTATATTAAATAATTGTTTGACAGAATTAAGTTGTGGTTACCTATGTTCTGCGAAGGCATGCCTGGGATCTGAGTAAGCCTGTCATTGTTTTGGGTCTCTTGATGAATAAAATAAAGGATATTTTGCATTCCTAGGTAGCCTATTCAAAACTAATTCCCACTGAACTTCGTGGGCCATACAGCACACAGTATGTGGCTGCAGAATGTTAGATCATCTTTTCCAACTAATCAATCTGAATCCATAATGGGCCAGATTCACAGCAGTGTTTTTCAAACTTGATGAATCTGGACTTTTAACTCCTAGAATTCCCCAGCCAGCATGCTGGTGTTTGAAATTTACTGGTTTAAACACAAGCATTTAACTTTGTCTATGCCCATACCTAGTCAAGAAAATACCAAGGAGAAAACCACACATCCTAACAACACTGACAGGGCAAACCCCACATTCAGATGATGTTACTTAATTGGATAATGAAGAGTCTGAAAACAACCAGCTAGGCTCATACAGCAGCAAGGATTCCACAGTTCATCCCTGAGGTACATATATTTTCTTCTACTGCAGAAATAAAATATCTTAGAAAAGGGCTGTCAAACTCCTGGCCACGCCCACACCCGGTTTAATGAAGGGGGGGGGAGTCCCAATACGTCACATGACACCACCATGACAAATGTGAGTTTGATACCACTGTCTTAGGCGATGTTGATATATCCGTTGTACATAATTTCACTAAGTTCCTTATATCTGTTTGATCTTTGAATCAATTACTATTTGTCCATTGGCATTCTTCAGTTTAGAATACCATTTTATGACTGAAAATTCCTTCTGAATTTTAAAATATTTTGGAAAACCTGTCTTATTTTTTTAGTATGTTACCATTTTCACCTCTTTACAGATGTCATATTTCAGTTCTTTGTACCTTTTAACAGTTCTCTGAAAGTATTTTAGTTTTGTCCTGATATTTTTGTTTGTGCTTCTTGACTTTGGCTTTTCTTTATTTTTTACCAATTATCACCATCTATTCTGGCTTTTGCTTTTTTCGGTTTCTTGATCTTTAGCAGTCTCTTTTCACATTAATCCTTAATAGGTGCTTTAATTTGGTTCCAGAGCTTCTGGTTCTCTATCAATGAGGTTGAGGACTTAACAGTGATTCCTGATATTCTGCTTGAAACTGGTAGGTATATGCTTAAGATAATATTATGGAAACTAGTTAGTTTTGTTATTTTCTTTTAGCTTGATTTGGAACACCCATGAATAATTCATCATCTTTTGCACAATAAACCTTTGGCTATATCTTCATTATTATAATTGAGCTTTTCACAACCGTGTACTACTAATATAGTTAATTCGATTTTTTTGTGTGTGTTCTATCTGGTGTTATCTATTTATATGTTATCTTGGTTGTCTGAAAAATATATTAGCAATGTAAATAAAATAATTGGATTGAGAGAAACAGATAAATTGGTCCTCTGTTTATTTTTTATTTCTAATCCATATAGTTCAACAATATTTTTTTCATTATTTCCAACACTGGTATTCCAATCTTCTTGCTTGTATGTTCTGTTGATTTCAGCCTGAACTTAACCATACAAGTAGTTAATATTCTCTTTTTCTGCATCAATAGTTGGGGCAAAAAGTTGAATAACTCTCATATTAAAGATCTGTGGGCAAAATTTATATTACCAGTATTACTATTATTATATACACAATAATGTGAAATCAGAGGTGTCAGTTCTTTAGCTGGTGGTGGCATTTGCATGTGAGTTCTTCCCAAGAACCTAACATATTGTAATGTATCAACATAATATATGTGCAGATCCAAGCAGTATGATCTTTTGTAATTGATAGATGGAAATTTTGACAATGCATAGATTTTCTCAGTGCTGTCCATGATGTTTTGTTATGGTACCCAATTTGCTATAACCCCTGCAACCACTACAACCAGTTTATGCCATAATCTTTTAACTTTGATTTTCAGATTTGATACTTGATTTCTTCCAGTTCTGCTATTCTATTATCCCCTGATATTGCCACATCAATTATTTACACTTGTCTTTTCAACCACAGCTAAATCTGGCTGTAATGTGCCAAGACTTTGTCAGTTTTCTATTTGGAAATCGCACAAAATTTTAACCTGCTTATTTTTACTACTTTTTCAACTATATGTTTCCAACCAATTTTCTATAATTGGCTTTTGATAATTTTACAGATGTTCCAGTGAATAATTTTGGCATAACTGAGTTATGAGGCTGTTTATAATAAGTTTGTGTGATCTTCTTGCACAAGCTGAATAAATGATTTACTGTTTCTTCTGCTTCTTTGCATAATCTCATGGTTTTTCAATTCTGGCCTTGATTACATTGATTCAAATAGCTTCTTCTTCAGCAGTCAAATTCAAGCCTTTAGTTTCTTTTTTAATGTTTCAAGTTGTAAATCTTTGCCAGGTTTTATCTTCATTCACTTTCCACTCAATCTTTTGTAGAAATTGACCATGTAATGCTTTCCCTTGCCAATATTCTATTCTTGTTTTATTTCAATATTCATGTTTTGTTTCCTGTGCATTCAGTAAATTCCAGTTTTCAACTTGCCTCAATGATTGGTCTTGGCTGTTTTTTACATAATCAGTCAATGCATGATTTTCTTCTTTAACAATTTTTTTACTTGAAGTAAACCTCTGCCTCCATTTCTACAGAACATGTATAATCAATATCATTCTGGGGATGTAATGCATAGCAAATAGTCATAAGTTTTCTTGTCTTTTTCAATCCAAACAGTCTAGTTCAGCTTGTGTGCAGTTAATAATTCCAGCAGCATATCATAACACAGGTATGGCCAGGTATTGAAGGCTTTGATTGTGTTTCTACCGTTCAATTTTCTCACTGTTTCTATCTATTCTTTACTAATTACACTTTTCACTTGTCCATGCTTTATGATATTTAAGTGTAAAATGCTGTGATCTTTGATGAGTCCTGATTGTTTAACCATTTAGCATTTCAATTCCATTATTATTCATGATTTCACTTTGATTTTTTGATACTGTGCCTGTAGCAATAAATACAATGCTTCTATAGTAGTAGTTATTCTAGGCCAAATTTAATTGCTATATATGTGCTAAAAATTCTTAAATCATTTGTTGTTAAATCAATGACTGATTTTTTCCTGAATTTCCATAAAGCTTAGCCCCTCTGTCTTTCTTCAATTTTCCTGCTGTTAGCCATTGCCAGATCCTGTTGTCATCTGCTTTGCCTGCTAGATTTTTTGTGTGCACTGGCCATGCAATGCTTGCTTTGCCCAATCTCTGTTGTATTCTTCATCTGCTCTTTTCTTGGTGTCTTTGGTATTCAATTAGCCATCATGGTATACTAGTTTCAATGCATCTTCTTCACTGCCCTTCAAATATTTTTCCGATGCCCTTTTTTCTTCCTTAACTATCTGGTGTACTTGCAAATTTCTATGACCACTTATGCTCCTTGGTAAATAGAGTCTGTCAGTGTCATTGTGTGGATGTACAGTATGTACCGGTATGATTCATCATTATTATTATTCTGATCTTCCTGTACAGGGCTTCTAGATCAATTTGAGTCCAGTGCACTATTCTAACTGTATATCTAATGATAGTATGTTGTTAAACTACTTGGCAATGAGTGAATAGAGACCAGTTAGATGTTTCAATCAAAAACCATGCAGTTCATCTTCACCTTCTACTGCAACCTTCCTTGCCCTTTTTTACCGACCATTTCTGTTGCTATCAGCTTCTTCTTTTTCCTTCACCTTCTTTAGCCAAGCTGCATTCTTGAAGTATTTATTTGGGTTGGCTCATATCTGTGCCCTGAACTGCACTGTTTCTTCACTGTTAGCTGATGGATGGTTCATTGCAGCCTCTCCATTAATGGATTGATAGAAACCTTTCTGATTCAATTGAAATTGGAGATTCTGCCTGTAGAGTACAATTTGATCTTCCTATTTGCTGACCTTGGCTATAGATTTTATTTGTTGCTTTATTATTTCCAGTGTTTCCTTAATCTTCCTTTTTTCCATGTGATATTTCTTGATTGGGTATTCTTTGATCTTCTGGTCTTTTTTGCTGTTTTCTTTGTTCTGTTTTCTTGCTGTTTTCTTTGTTCTGTTCTAGCCTGCTTGTATCTGATCTTAGCATGCTGATCTTA